TTAAAAAATAGTTATTTTCTTCATAGCAGCCCTACAATCACCTTTATAAAAAGTTCTGGTCACCTCAAACAGACTCTTAATGATAGATATGGAGGCCTGAACATCTCTTGTGCTCTTGGGCTACATTAATCCCATGCACACATACGTGTATGAAAGGCTACTCGGCTTCTCTGGAGTTGCTACCAACCTAATAGGGACTAAAATGCATCTAAATGTTTTGATATAATTTATATTAAAAAAGTTTAAATTAAAAAATAAATGTTCATTTCCAAATCAGAAAAACTGATCCTGATGATGTCTTTTAGGTTTATTTAAATAGCACATTGATTTTTCCACCTCATACAAAAATTTAGAATATTTTGATAAAATATGAAAAAAAAAATCAATTGTGTTTCTCATTATTACATAATAAAGAGAAAGAAAAATTAAAGAGAGAGAAATTAAAAATAATAAATATCACTATCCCACCTCTTTTTTTATTATTTATACTTGCATATTGCCTAATGTGTATTTAATATTTACTCCAAGTAGAATGAATTATCTCGACTTACCTAGTAATTATTAGATATAGATAACATGAGTAAAATAATGTATATAAAAAAGATCATGGTGGGACCCCATATAGTTGAGGGTGAACAATTGTTCACAATCAACTTTTATTTTAACAAGGGAGGATGGCATCCTCCTAAAAAATTTGTTTTGCCCACCCTTAAAATTTATTTCTACAGTTAAAGAGTTGATTTTGTGAGAATACAATTGACTTTAGTGACCTTAGCGCCATAATTGAATAGAGACTTTTATTTTTATCGGCGTATCAATAAAATCAAAGTTAGGGAGGCTTTAAAAAAAATAAAGTATGAAAAAATTGTTGACCTAATGATATTCTAATAGAGGTATAGAAAATCTTAGCCGCTTAGGAGATATTATGAAAGTTTTTCAATATTTTTTGAAGACTAAGAAATGTTAGAAGAGTGTATAGAGAGTATGTTGATTTCTATTTTTAATAGAGTTATAATTATTTAAACAAAAACCAGTTTAAAAAAAATTAAGATATCATTTAAATTAAGTAAACTTAAAACAAACGATGGCTGGCAGCAGCCGGGACACGTGGGAAACTCTCACTGGATCCGCAGTTTCGGGGATGCGGTATGGCAATCATTGCCAATGATTGCGCCGCCGCACAATCATCGGCAATGATTACCGCGGTGCGGAAATCACCGCCGCCCACTTAACCACGTCAGACAAAATCCTCGCTGTCTGATCTTACAAGGTTCGAAACGAACGGTCTGGATTGAGCTGGACGAGCAGCGGTGCCTCAAGGTCGAGATCCATGGCTGATCTAAACCACAGAATGGTGGACACATGACCGTTGATCACAAGATCAATGGTCCTGGTTTCGCCCAGGGAACCGAAAGCGTAAACTAAAACCCTGATTCGTTTTTCACTTCGTTCTCGCAAACAGCTCGATCAAATCAAATAAAATTTTTAAAATACATTCTATACATGAAGAGCATCCTTGGGGAACAATTTTTGTAGCCTAAAAATGCGATATGAAAGGAGTTATTTAAATCTAAGTGTTGTAACATAGGTTAAGGGTTTTTGAGAGATCTAATCGTTGGATCTTCAAAATCTTGATACAGTTGAGCTTGTAGATTATCCTCGTACAAGTTTCCTAGTTGATCCCAAGCCTTGAGACTTCTTGGATCATCGTGTGGGAGACTTGGAAGCTTTTGGCCTTCGGTTCGCCGGGAGATCGCTGTCGGCGAGCTTTCACTGATCAGATTTGACTTGGAATGGATGGGGAAAGGTCGTGGGATTTCTTACCTCAAAGATCTCGGGTTGGGATCTATTCTAATGCTCATGATCAAGGATTGGGATCTATTCTAGGGTTAATTAGGAGGTGTTCAAGCTTGATTAGCACGAGCTCCAACCAAGGGGAGCATTAGGAAGGCTTAAATCCATTAATTAAGCTTGATTTGACCTAAAAATGCTAGGTTTGACCAAGTTAAGGCTTGGGTTGACCAAGCCATGACCTAACCTAGTCAATTTGGTCAAATGGGTCCAAGGTATGATGGATTCAAGTCAGGGAAGAATTAGTATTGATTTGAAATCAAATAAAAGAGATTTGGGTCAACCCAGGTTGACTTGGTCAACCAGGTTGACCCAAGGCAGGGGTCTGGAGTCAGCAAACTCAATTTGACTCACTGAACACACTGGAAGTGGGCTTAAGGTCTAGCTTAGTCAATTTGACCAAGTTAAACTCTCTGACCATGAGTTTGAATAAAAGAGAGGTCAACAAATAAAACTAAAATTTACATATCAAGACACTTTTTGGTGAGGCAGTTGGAACTTCATTAGAAACTCTAAAGTTAATCACGATCGTATAGGGTCACTATTGGGACTAGTGACCTCTTGGGAAACTACACTATTGGGACGAAATTATAATACTATTAAGCTAAAATGAATAATATCTCGACATTTAAAATTTTGGGCTGATTATAAAAATTATGATCCTCAGTTTCATTTTCATCTCACTTGCATGTATGAGCCTTGTTTTTTTTTTTTTTTTCTTTTATCAAATATTAATTTCAGGAGGAGGCTATTGTTGATTGGTATAAATTTGTGTGGCAAAATCATCAGGCTCCGAAATATTCAATATACACTTCGATTGCTGTTAATGGTGGGCTTAAAATGACGGAGGAGCTTATCAAAAGAAATATAGTGGTGCAGCCTAATTGCTTTTTGTGCTCTTTTCACGATGAAACTAGTTTTCACATCCTATTTGAATGTGACTATGCCTTCTCTGTTTTAAAAAAACTAATCCCAGTTTTGGGAGATTTTCTTTTAAAACATCGGCTTATTCAAGTTATTCAATTCTTGGGTGAAAGGTGCTACTTGTCAAAAAATCAAAAAGAAATTCTTCTCCTTATAGTTTGTTGTGCCACATACTAAGGTGAAAGGTGTTACTTGTCAAAAAATCAAAAAGAAATTCTTCTCCTTATAGTTTGTTGTGCCACATACTAAGGTGAAAGGTGCTACTTGTCAAAAAATCAAAAAGAAATTCTTCTCCTTATAGTTTGTTGTGCCACATACTATCTTTGGAGGGAAAGAAATGAAAGAAGATTCAACTTTAAATTTAGAAGTGTCTCGATTTTATGTTGTATCATTAAATTGGCGGTTGAGGAGAAGGTATCCATCTGGAAGCATTGTGAAAATCTGAGAATTTTTGGCATTCTTAATGTTTTTTGGCTGGGTGATTATTCTTGTAGCATGTTGGTTTTTCTGCTGGAAGGATGTAGTTTTTTTGGATGGAGGATTATTGCTTACTTCTATTAAGCTTGGTTTTTGTTGTATTTGTGATGCTCGGGTTGGAAGGGTGTCTTCGGATCCCAATCTGCTTGCGTTGGTTTTGATAGACTGCTTCCGGCTGTGAATCTCATTCATGGAAATTTTCTTGCTGCTCTCGAAGTATCAAGTCCCTGGATGGCCTCTTTGGCAACCTTGGGCTGTTTTATTTGGCTGACTTTCGATGCAGGATGATGATGTAGCTGCTAATCATCTCCTTTGAGGGCTTAATGGGCAACCAGGAGGTTTCTGTTCAGTGACGCTGGATATCTGTTGATTTGTGCGTTAGCAATTTGAGTCCGATTTTGGTGCTCTTGCCTATTTTTTGGATAGCTTCTTCACTTTGTTGTTTTTCTGTTTTGGCTCTTTGGGAGGTATAGGTTTTTTGTTTATTTCTCATCTTATTTATATGAGGTCTAACCTTTTTTATTATACCTTACTTGTAATATATGAGTTGTTGCCCTCATATTCCCAAAAAAAAAAAAAAAAAAAAATTGTTGCTCTATGCCACACTTTGATTGTCGCATCGCGTCAGCAGCACCCGCATGCCCACGATTACGCAACCAATGATTACGGCAATCAAATTGTAACATATAATTCCAACTCTCTTATTTTCCTTTACGAGCCTCCAAATTTCGCTCTGTTCTTAATGTATGATAGATGATTGCTTTTAAACATAATTAGCCTTCTAAAAATTCATTAGGCACTTAATCTGAAATATATTCTGATTCCACGCATATAATTCACAATTTTCTATCATATATTCACGATGAACCAAATCTCGCATATAAATCCCCCTACTCTCCAAACTTCTCTCTCTCTGAACCATGGTTTAGAATAACTATATATATGAATTTGAATTTATGGGTGGATAATACCCGACTTTTCTAGTAGGTCAACAGATGGAGAAATAATTATGTGCAGTCACTGGACTAGCTGTCCGGAGATAAATTAGAATGCGCCATGTCACTCGGTACATATCAGTATAAAGCATCGGTGCATAACAAAAAAGTAATGTGGCGGGTCCTGATTCGTTTCCGAACGGTGTCCGGTGAGCGCACAAAATAATTTCTTCAACCTTTGAGCTAAAACTTGTATGTAATGATGGACTGTCAAAAGAGGAGAGAAAGGAGAAAAAGAAGTATAAATCTCAAACCGGTAGAGTATTCACTATTAGAGAAAATTTAGGACTGGATATATGTAAATAATGCAAAAAAAAAAAGTATATATGAATTCACGCATATCAATCATTAGAATTTATTTTCATATTGCCAGTTTTAAAATAATTTTGAATTTTAAGCATCAGACAAATTTAGAAAATGCATGAAGATGGCTTAAAACAATTTGAATACTTTTCTTAACTCGCAATAACAATCATCAATTAATGAAACCTTATTTATACAAAGATCTTATTCATAATTAAAATGCATAATTAACAATTAGTTTTACCGTGAATCAAAATCTTTAAAATAGACATCTAAATAAATGCAAATCAGTTAATTTCCATAAAGACTATAAAATTTGTATTAACATAAGGAAAATATTTATAATCATTCTATACATATATGTTGTTGCTTTAAATTATAAATGTTTATAATTCTCCAAACTTTAATCACGTCGATCAATTGTTCTTCTCTTTCTGCACTATCTAAGCCATGGAGGCACAATTACTCCTCCTCCTTCTCCCCTTCCTCTTCCACCTCTCCTCAGCAGCTCAGCTCTACAACATTGCAGACTATGGCGCTAAGCCAGACGGCTCTCATGACTCTGCTTCTCAGCTCGCCATTGCATGGACTAAGGCTTGCTCCTCCATCGTCCCTGCAACGCTGCTTATTCCTCCTGGCAAGTTCTTAGTAAGCCAAGCCTTGCTGCAAGGTCCTTGCAGAAACAATAAAATCTTAATTGTCATAAAGGGAATTATCATGGCTCCTTCCTCTTACACCTCCAACGAGCAATGGATAATCTTCAAGAGAGTGAACGGCCTCACCATCTCTGGAGGACTATTAGACGGCCAAGGCCAAGCTCTCTGGTCTTGCAAGAACAGCAACAGCAAATGCCCAGAAGGAGCCACATCTCTCTCCATCGCTTACTCTAACAACGTATGGATTGACAGAGTTAGCTCAGTGAACAGCGAGCAGTTTCACATTACTATATATAGAAGCAGCCATGTGAAGGTAACGCGAGCTGTTATTACAGCACCATTTGATAGTCCTAATACTGACGGAATACACATTGAGGAGTCGAGCGATGTGGAGGTGAAAGAGTGCAGAATTGGCACAGGCGATGACTGTATATCAATGGGGCCTGGAGACAGTAATGTATGGATAGAGAATGTAAGGTGCGGGCCCGGCCATGGCATCAGCATTGGGAGCTTGGGTTCTTCAAGCAACCAGGATGGTGTGAAGAATGTTCGGATCCCAATATGCTTGAGTTGGGTTTTGATAGACTGCTTCTGGCTGGATCTCATTCACGGAAATTTTTTTGCTGCTCTCGAAGTATCAGGTCCCTGGATGGCTTCTTTGGCAACCTTGTGCTATTTTATTTGGCTGATTTTCGATGCAGGATGATGTAGCTGCTAATCATCTCCTTGGAGGGCCTAATGGGCAACCAGGATGTTTCTGTTCGGTGACGCTAGATATATGTTGGTTTGTGCAATTAGCAGTCTGAGTCTAATTTTGATGCTCTTGCCTATTTTTCGAGTAGCTTCTTCACTTTGTTGTTTTTCTGTTTTTTGCTCTTTGGGAGGTATATGTTTTTGATTCTACCTCTTCTTATTTGTATGAGGTCTAACTTTTTTATTATATCTTATAACTTTTTTTCATAGTAATATATGGGTTGTTCCCCTCATATTCCCAAAAAAAAAAAAAAAAAAATTGTTGCTCTATGCCACGCTTTGATTGTTGCATCGCGTAAGCTGCACCCGCATGCCCACGATTACTGCAACCAATGATTACGGCAATCAAATTGTAGCATATAATTCCAACTTTCTTCTTTTCCTTTACAAGCCTCCAAATTTCGCTCTGTTCTTAAATGCATTCGATCTGCTTATTTGGGAAGAAGATGATTGCTTTAAACATTATGCCTTCTAAAAATTCATTAGGCACTTAATCTGAAATATATTCTGATTCCACGCATATAATTCACAATTTTCTATCATATATTCACGATGAACCAAATATCGCATATAAATCCCCCTACTCTCCAAACCTCTCTCTCTCTCTCTCTCTCTGAACCATGGTTTAGATTTTAGAATAACTATATATATATCTGAATTTGAATTTATAGTAGGTCAACCGATGGAGAAATTATTCTGTGCAGTCACTGGACTGTCCGGAGATAAATCAGAATGCGTCATGTCACTCGGTACATATCAGTATAAAGCATCAGTGCCAACAAAAAAGTGATGTGGTGGGTCCTGATTCATTTCCGGACGGTGTCCGGTGAGCGCACAGAATAATTTCTTCAACCTATGAACTAGAGCTAGTATGTAATGATGGAATGTGAAAAGAGAAGAGAAAAAGGAGAAAAAAAAAGTATAAATCTCAAACCGATAGAGTATCCACTATCAGAGAAAATTTATGATCCTACAAACTGTTCATCATCACCTATTTATAGATGAGCAAGTTGTTACAAAAATGGAGAGCTTTAGGCCAAATAGTAGCAATTGAATATAAATCCAATACAAAAAAGTGATTCAAACTTAGTTCAAAAGAATTCAAAATAATTGAAGAATCAAATTATCTTTGAATATTATAATCAAATTTTTTTTATACTTATAATAATCAACTTAAAATTTTTTATCAGAATAATTTATAGAATTATTTAATTTAATTTTGAGATTAATATAAAATGAATATTCTATACATTTCAACTTATATTTAATGATTTTGAAATTTATCCTCCTTCAAATTTGATTAGATATAAGCGTTGCTCAGTTGTTAACAATATTTTGTTCCTTTTCCTTAGAATTGAATTCGAACACATATTAATATATTAACTCATATTTTCTTAAAATTTTTATTTAAATTCAGATAAAAAATCATTCTTAATAATAAAGCTGCTATGCATTTGTACGTTTCTTATAATAATAATAATGATAAAGTCTATGCATTTCGGTGAAAATGCAAATTTAAATTTACATTTTCACTGAACATGCAAAAATAATTTTCGTTTTCATCTAAATGAAAATTTAGGACTGAATATATGTAAATAATGCAAAAAAAAAAAAAAAAAAAAAAAAAAAAAAAAACTTAGAAGTATATTTGAATTAACGCATATCAATTATTAAAATTTATTTTCATATTGCCAGTTTTAAAATAAATTTAAATTTTAAGCATCAGACAAATTTAGAAAATGCATGAAGATGGCTTAAAACAATTTGAATACTTTTCTTAACTCGCAATAACAATCATCAATTAATGAAACCTTATTTATACGAAGATCTTATTCATAATTAAAATACATAATTAACAATCAATTTTACCGTGAATCAAAATCTTTAAAATAGACATCTAAATAAATGCAAATCAGTTAATTTCCATAAAGAACATAAAATTTGTATTAACATAAGGAAATAATTTATAATCATTCTATACATATATGTTGTTGCATTAAATTATAAATGTTTATAATTCTCCAAACTTTAATCACGTCAATTGTTCTTCTCTCTTTCTGCACCATCTAAGCCATGGCAGCACAATTACTCCTCCTCCTTCTCCCCTTCCTCTTCCACCTCTCCTCAGCAGCTCAGCTCTACAACATTGCAGACTATGGCGCTAAGCCAGACGGCTCCGATGACTCTGCTTCTCAGCTCGCCATTGCATGGACTAAGGCTTGCTCCTCCATCGTCCCTGCAACGCTGCTTATTCCTCCTGGCAAGTTCTTAGTAAGCCAAGCCTGGCTGCAAGGCCCTTGCAGAAACAACAAAATCTTAATTGTCATAAAGGGAATTGTCATGGCTCCTTCCTCTTACACCTCCAACGAGCAATGGATAATCTTCAAGAGAGTGAATGGCCTCACCATCTCTGGAGGACTATTAGACGGCCATGGCCAAGCTCTCTGGTCTTGCAAGAACAGCAACAGCAAATGCCCAGAAGGAGCCACATCTCTCTCCATCGCTTACTCTAACAACGTATGGATTGACAGAGTTAGCTCAGTGAACAGCGAGCAGTTTCACATTACTATATATAGAAGCAGTCATGTGAAGGTAACGCGAGCTGTAATTACAGCACCATTTGATAGTCCAAATACTGACGGAATACACATTGAGGAGTCGAGCGATGTGGAGGTGAAAGAGTGCAGAATTGGCACAGGCGATGACTGTATATCAATGGGGCCTGGAGACAGTAATGTATGGATAGAGAATGTAAGGTGCGGGCCCGGCCATGGCATCAGCATTGGGAGCTTGGGTTCTTCAAGCAACCAGGATGGTGTGAAGAATGTGACTGTCAAGAACGTTCAGTTCACTGGAACGGAAAATGGGCTGAGAATCAAGACTTGGGCGAAGCCTAGTAACGCTTTTGCTCAGCAAATTTTGTTCCAGAATGCAACCATGGATAATGTCAAGAACCCTATCATCATCGATCAGAACTACTGCCCTGACCATCTGGACTGCCCCAACCAAGTAGTTAGTTTAACATACTTTGTCATCTTGCTTTTAAAATAGCTTTTTAGTACAAAATTCTTTTTAAAAACACTGAAACTAACGAGAAATTATTAGGTGCAGAGTCTGGACGTTGAGATACGTCCGGATAGAGATATGTCTGGACTCCAATAAAATGTTGACACGTGAAGTGGTCACGTGGATATTCAATTGGATTTATTTTAAACTTTATATATTTAATGTGTCTACGAAACTTTTAGCTAAGCGTAGGTAAAGCGCAATAAAAAAACGCAATAAAAAAACAGTGAAAGTGTAATTAAAGTGCAACTAGAGTGCATATAAAGTTCAGGTAAAGCGCACAAAAAGAGTGCAATCAAAGCACACTCCATGGTCACATTTTAAGTGAATGTCCAAATATATCTCTACATCCGGGCTCCGCACCTAATAATTTCTCGAAAATAATAGTACGTAGTTAAAAGCTGTCCCAAACGAAACCTAATTTGTTAATAAGTACTGACTATTTCAGTTGATTGCAGTCTTCGGGTGTTCAGATTAGTGATGTGACATTTCGCGACGTCGTCGGTTCGTCGGCGACGAACACGGCGGTGAAGCTGGACTGTAGCAAGAGTAAACCATGTGAAGGGATTATGCTACAAAATATCAATCTTGGTTATAATGGAAGCAGTGAGGCTGAAATGGTATGTAGCAATGTGCATGGAGGAAGCTCTGGTGTTGTCATTCCACCTTGCTGTATCAGCAAATGAGATTGATTAGCTTAATTACACGTTTATTAACTAATTAACATTTTAATTATGTACTGATATGAGCTATCATTAATTTTTAATCTTATTAATTAGATATGTAATTTAGTTGACCTCTCTTTGTGTAACCAATTATGGAAGACTGGAAGTAAAATTAATAGAGAAATTAATTTCTAGACTTTCCTATTGAAATTAGTTGTTGTTTCCGATTTTTAATTATATTTATTTTCATGAAGGTTTCTAATTATTATTACCATGCATAGTCTGACTTTGCTTTTATACCTTCAGAGTATATCAAATAATAGTGAAAAATATTTAAAAATATTATGCAAAGCTTTGGTACATACATAATTACTTAATTAGACACATTAATTCTTTACAGGCCTGTGTTATGAGGGACAAAATAGATTTATAAATATATATTATTTTGATAAAATTAATGCAATTTTTAAAATTACGAGTATGTATAAATCTAATTATAATTTGATGTCATTACTCTTAAGTATAAGATCAACATCGTTAATTAAATTTGAGAGCATTAAGATTAGTGGAATGCAATATTTCATAGTTGTTAAGATAATTTATGCTTCATTTGGGATGGCTTTTTTAATGCTTTTTAAAATAATTTTTTTAGTATAAAAATTTTTAGTTCATGAAATTTTTTTACTAAAAAATTACTTTTAAAAGCCGTAAAAAATGCATCCTAAATAAAAGTTTAGTATAAGTGTTACCAAAATTTTTACGTAAAAAATCTTAAAAAAAAAAAAAAGTAAAAAAATATACATATAAGCCTTGCCCAACCAAAAGGATCCCACTATAGGAATGTTAATTACAAGGGTTTGCTTGCCCCTTAACTTGAAATGGATTCTGCTCCGCTTTGTTCAGTAATAATTCTCTAATTTAGATGCAATAAAATTTATTATGTAAATGATGATTTTGTTTTCGCTAAAATCACCACCTTGGAGAACATTTTTAGGATTTGCTGAGCGCACATTCATTTCTTGTTACTAATCAGAATCCAATCAAATGATGGAATAAAATTTTTTTACAGATTTTCAAAAAAAAAAAAAAAAAAAAAAAAAAAAAAAAAAAAGGTTGAACATCAAGGGATCCCAAGCAGATTAAACAAGGACCCTTTTAGTCGAACCTCTTTCTAACGAGGAATTATTACGTGCGGAATTGGATGTAGTCATACGTCCAGATTATAAGTATACATAATGTGTACACACTGTATACAAAAATACATTATGTATTTTTATACATAGCGTGTACACACTGTGTACACTCACAGTCCGAACGTAATTCTACATCAGGACTCCGCACAAAATAATTTCTCCATTCTAACAAAGTTTACACTCATTCCAACAAGACTTTACTTAGTGTATGTCTTCAATACAAAAAGAAAGATCGCATCACTTCTTCAGGCCCAACGTCTGATGGCACCGAAGAACCAAAAGAACGAAGTATTATTAGGTCCGTGACGGGAACGTGCGGTCACCACTGAGTTGCTCGGTATTTGCTCGGTATTTGCTAGGTATTGCTTGGCAATAACGAGAAATACCGCTCTGTGAAGACCAATACCGAGTAATACTGAGCAATACTGAGTTTTTCTAGAAAAAACACGGTATTGCTCGGTGTTGCTCGGTATTACTCGGTATTGCTCGATATTGCTCGGTATTTGTCTTCACATAATGGTATTTCTCGTTATTACTGAGCAAAATCGACAAATACGTGGTTTTGTGCCTGCTACGTGGCGCGATTTAGTGTCTGCCGAACGTAGCTCTACGTTCTTTCACCGGACCAAATAAAAGTTCCAAAAGAACAGATATCTTCAGAATTTTAGAAGCAAAACTTTGTAAACAAGTTTGCTTAAATTCGCTTGCTCATTATGAACCTATGAAAGTTTCTCACCAAAAAAACTCTGCTTTAAGTATTCCTCTCTTTTGAAAACAAAAGGCATAAAAACTATGCTACCAACTCTTTGTGACGTCTAATATTAAAAAAATATATGTGGTTACACTAAGAGTAACTCTTTCCTTACCTTAATGATCTCCAACAAGACCCCTAACTTAGCAAGGTGCAGCTTTTGTGGCCATGGTGGGTCCTCTTGATCCATCTCCTTCATATATTATTCAGTAATTAGGTGGTTCAAATGAACCTCACCAGCTGTGAACCCATCACAGGTGCTCATTCTCCACCTGTTTCAATCAATACTAGAAATATCATCATTCTTCTTAGATCATTCAATATTCTATGCAAAAAGTTTGTTTAACTATAAACAAAGGATTGATAAAGCTGAGAATCCAGTTCTTTCAAAGATGCAAGGAGTACTATATTTGGTGGTTGTCGGGAGAGGAATTTCAGCTTTACCTTAAGTCGCTGAACATAAATATTTACTTTGTCCTGCCATTTCTGCAGTTCTTGAAACAAAGATAGCCAAGTTTTCATGGACTTCAACAGCAACGCAACATCGTTGGAGCCATTGGACTTGCTTTCACAGACGTGGTGCAACTCTGCCATCCAAATTTTCCAGCCCATGATGAAGGCTGGTTCTAAGGAGGTTTTGGGCAACAGTAAGAGCTTAGACCTGCAAGTAAGTTAAAAAAATGTAAAGTAGTATTCTTGTACTTACATTAAACTGATTAAAGCAAAGAATTTCAAATCAAAATTTCATAATTCAAGATGCAAGTAAGGGAATATTAGGAAGATTTACAAGATTAAAGATGCTTGCAGAGCAAGAGTATTGAAGTGGATGATGGAGAGCAGAATTCCATGGCGCAGTGGAAGCTCGATGATGTGAAGGTAATACAATTGTTTCAAACTGGTTCATGGAAACACAAGTTTGATCTTAATTTCGTCGACTGTTTTTGCTGATATAAGTTATTTTTCCTCTAGTCATGGATATGGCTGCAACAGGCAATCCACCCAGAATTGGAATATGATATTTGCTTCAGAAAGAAATGGGTAAGAAGCCAACTGCCACGACTTCAACATTAACTTTGCCCAAAACATTACACTTTTAATCTTTTCTTTTAACTACTGCGTGATATCACTAACTCTCCTCTCAATACTTACAGTTGTTCAATTATTATATATGGCATCTTTAAAAAGGAGATATTAGGAGTGGTTCTTCCCACCTAGTGCTATACAAATTCGTAAAAGATTCAAAATTTAGGTGGAAGAGTGGCTTTACCCTTAGAGATAGGATACAAAATGAGAATATACGTGAAAAGGTTGGAGTAGCTCCAGTGGAAGAGAAGATTAGAGAGTCGCCTTAGATGATTTGGTTAAAACTGTACAGTCGAATTAAGAACTACATATAATTTTACACTACAAAGAAAACTTTTTGCATTTCAATTAGAATTATATTAATATGAATTTAATCTTTCAATACTAGTGTTGGTGAATTAGTTAAAACTTTTTGCATTTCAATATTGCTGTCTGCTTGGTGGCTGTTCGATTTCTATGGCTGTCCCGATTCCCTAGCTTGGATGTTCGATTTCTATTGTTGTTCCCTGGCTTTCCCGGTTCCCCTAGCCTTGGATGTTCGGTTCCTGTTGTTGTTCCCTGGCTTTCCCGATTCCCCTAGCCTTGGCTGTTTGAGTCCTGTTGCTATCCCTTGGCTTTCCAGATTCTCTGGCTGTTCAGGTGGGCTTCAGTTGGGCCTTAATTGTTGCCTTTTCTTCCCTTGTTCTTGTTGGATGTTTTGGGCGGCTGCCTTAAGTGTGTTTTGGGCTCCTTTTCCCTATTTAAGGGGGTTGTTTTCTACAGTTTTTGGGAAGTGAAAAAATGGACTGATTTTTGGAAAGAAAATTTCAGGGTTTTGGAATAGCTTGCGAGCTATTGCCGTCTTCTCATCTTCTTCTTATAATTCGTCTTGAACTTCTAATCTCTTTCTTTTATCCATGGTAACCCTTCAATTGTATATTTCTTCTCAATCTACTAAAAGTTGCAAGGTGTCCTTGCGTAATATTTTATTTATGTCCTAAGGAAGTGTTATCTTGTATGTTAGAAGTGTTGTTGTGTTCTAGGTTTTCCTTTTTAATTGAAGTTATAAGTGTAATATCCATTTTATTATAAGTGGTGTTTTGTCAAGTTTTATTGTTGTATTTGTTTAAGTTATTTGGAAAGTAAGCGATTATTTGCATATCTAGTGTTCTCCTACTAGCCTTAGGAATCCTAGGTTGCATCAATTTAAATATCAGAGCCTTAGGTTTTTGTGAGTCTTCTTTCTTTCTAAAAAAAAGGACATTCCAACGGCCGAGGTCCCAAATCGAGATGAAATAAAATCTGTAGTTGGTGAAAATCAGCCAACTAATCTTGAAGACAAAATTTCAACAAGCAGATGGATCCCGTCCCAAGGAAGTTCCACCGATCCAATCCAGAACGAGCTTTACTAAATTCAGGAGAAAATGAATTTATGTGCAGAAAAATTTGAGAAGAAAAAGAGTCTACTTTGAGCCCAGTTTAATCAAGAAAAAGAAATGATTCAAAGAAAGTATGCGACTTTAGTACAAGTGTTGGATGTGGCTCATTCGAAGCGTAAATAAGGTTCAAATTAAATCTCATCAGGAAATGAGAACTCTCAGGGGAGAATTTAGTTAAACCCCCCCCCCCCCCCCCTCTCTTTTGTGTTTGGGTTGATTTGGGTTTCTTGTGGCTGTTCGGTTTCTATGGCTGTCCCGATTCCCTGGCTTGGATGTTCGTTTTCTGTTGCTGTTCCCTTGCTTTCCCGGTTACCCTGGCCTTGGATGTTCGGTTCCTGTTGATGTTCCCTGGCCTTCCTGGATCCCCTAGCCTTGGTTGTTCGGGTCCTGTTGTTGTCTCTTGACTTTCCCGATTCTCTGGCTGTTCGGATGGGCTTCAGTTGGGCCTTAATTGCTGCCTTTTCTTTCCTTGCTCTGGTTGGCTATTTTGGGAGCTGCCTTTGGTGTATTTTGAGCTCCTTTTCCCTATTTAAGGGGTCTGTTTTCTACAATTTTTGGGAAGTGAAAAAATGGACTGATTTTTGGAAAGAAAACCTGATCAGGGTTTTGGAATAGCTTGCTAGCTATTGCCTTATTCTTCTCTTCTTCTTATAATTCATCTTGAACTTCTAATCTCTTTCTTCTATCCATGATAACCCTTCCATTGTATCTTTCTTCTCAATCTATGAAAAGTTGCAAGGTGTCATTGCATAGTATTTTATTTATGTCCTAAAGAAGTATTGTCTTGTATGTTAGAAGTGTTGTTGGGTTTAAGGTTGTCCTTTTTAATTGAAGTTATAAGTGTATTATCCGTTTTATTATAAGTGGTGTTTTGTCATGTTTTATTGTTGTGTTTGTTTAAGTTATTTTTGAAAGGAAGCGATTATTTGCATATCTAGTGTTCTCCTACTAGCCTTAGGAATCATAGGTTGCATCACATAAACTTTTTTGTCCAGAATTCAAATGTAGGACTTCAAAACTAACCATGGTCAAGACATCATATATCTTACTCTATTCTATAAATAATGCATGATGGTGCGTACACATATAGATGACATTTCTTACATTCCACCATCTTTTGACGGGATGACTTGATGTAGCAAGCAAAAATGATGAGAGTGGCTTCCATCCTAACTCGTAAATGCCATACTACTTCAACCAAGATTTAGCAATATTCATTTGATCCATCGACAAGTCCTTGTCAATTTTGATTGAAGGATTCAGTGAAAATTGGCTCATATAGCAAAGTCTGTGGATAACAACTAAGATGCATAATCACTGCAATACAAACAAGAAAAATAAAAAGTAGATATTGGTAAAAAGTAGTTAATACAAGCCATGTAACACCAAAATCACAGCAAGCTCCAATAATTTAGAAGACTTTTCAAAATAACAAGTGTTTGAGAACTTCTGATTCATGCAGGCTACACACATATTTGTTGAAAACACAAGTTTCAGCCTACTGTTGAAACCCTAGAAACCTTTTCGTAGCAAAAAGTAATGCAACAAGGGAAATAGTTTTTCACCTGGAAGGTATGAAAAAGAAAAATACTTTCATCTAGCCATCTTGTTAGTATATCAGTATTTCCAGATATTTGGCATTCCTTGGTTATTCAAATATAAGTTGGTTAGCTTTGATAGCATAAATAGAAAGCACCAATTGTGTTGTGGCAAGTGAATAATCACTTTCAAGCAGTGTTTGAGATTAAAATGATTTTATTCTCAGCTCTCCAGAAAGATCAATCCTTTGAAGGGGATATCAATAAAGAAATGGATCAAGGAGCTGAAGCAAAAAAAGAAAGAAGAACAGCGGCTACACAAAGCTGCGGTCCATGCAGCAATATCAGTTGCAGAGGTTGCAGCAGCATTGGCAGCCATTGCAGCAGAGAATGCAGAACCAGAAAGCACAAATGCTTTGAAAGAGACTGCTGTAGCATCTGCAGCTGCTCTTGTAGCTGCACAGTGTGCCAAAGTAGCAGAAGCTGTGGGTGCAAAACATGATCAGCTCAATTCAGCTATAACTACAGCCATGACAGTAAAAGACCCAAGCAACATCATCACCCTCACAGCTGCTGCTGCAACATGTACAATTAGTTCCTTTTATAACTTGCAGCATGTAGTATTCAAATCTTTTGTAGCTTGCTGAAGGGTGTTTTTTTTCAGCATTGAAAGGTGCAGCAACACTAAGAAGTCGGGTAGGTTACAAGGAGAGGATAAAGGGCAATGCAAAGACACTTCTATATGAAGAGTTTGACTTTGGAAAATGTAGGGAATCATTGGCAAAGGGTGAAGAGCTCCTATTGGGAAATCCAGATGGTAACTACTTGAATTTTATAATTGATACTGAAAAAATATTGGATCAAGTTACAATAGAGAAGCTACTTAATGCCTAATGAAGTTATGGCGAACAACTGCAACCAAATTACATGTAACTGTTTCATTAAAAAGGCACCAAGAATGTTATCATAATATATTCATTATTTGCATATTAAATAGTGAGATGATTACTAAAACCATAGATAAAAGATTCAGGGTTATAAATGGATACTTTCCAAGGCCAAAAGTAGCACTAAAACGATACAAGACCACCACATGCCTAAAACCAAATGAGATAAGACATCTTCCTGCATTTAGCTATGCAACTAAATCTATCATGTTTTCAACTAACAGTCCAGCTTACTCTCTTCTTATCATACAGATTTCTTGTTCATTTTTTTTGGCAGGAAATTACAGGTTAAGGTGGGTCTCCATTGTGCAAAACATTAAGGGAAAAGTTCTACTAAAAGTGAAAAAAATCAATGTTTTTATGGTATTTTCAAGCACAAAAGAAAGTAAGCTAGCAAAAATAAAATTGCCAATTGGGTTTTGGATCTGCAGAACAGCAACCAGATTCATAAAACTGAGTTATTTGATGCAGGTTTTGTTTGCAGAATAGATGAAAACCCTTATGAAGAGAGTATTGAAGAGACGAACAATGCACATTCGCTTAAAATGACAACAAGCAAGGGGAAGATCGAACTATTATTTGATGATTATTCACAATACAAGAAATGGACAATGAGTATAAATCACATGCTGATTCTTTCCACAACCCTTAGCAATTATTGAATACACTTTGTGAAATTGACAACCGTACTTTTTACATGTGCATCTAAATTGCTTGAATAAATTGCTTGAGAATGCCTCATCCAGGGCTTGTTAGGTGTGAAGTAATATTGTTGCAATGTAAACTAGACCCCTGCAAAATAAATGAGATCAAATTGGTTGTATTTACTTTCAATAGCAATGTAAGAAAATAGCCTAAAAATATTTTTTCCACGATTTAATATACTTAACAGAATAAAAAAATAAGAACAGTATTTGTTGCTCATGAAAGAAAAAGGAAATCAAACAAATCGGACTAAAATTGAAGATACCATATTTCAACTTCTCCTTGGAGTGCTTTTTTTTTTTTTTTTGAAGAATGCCAATAGCATTAAAAGAAAAGGGAAAAAAAAAACCTAAAACAAAGAACTACGAGATAGAATACCTATCACTCTCCTCCTTGAGTAATTCAAAAAAATGGAGGAAGCTTATTGAAATCTAAGGCATCCCAGAAGAAGTCTCCATCTAAGGCCAAGTTAGCACAACAATCAGCTAACTTATTACAATTCCTAGAAACGAATTTAAACAAAAGAAAACCAAAGTCTTTAAGAAATGATAAGTCCTCAACTTCTCCTAGAATTTTTCTTTCATACTAGAATATTATGCTCAATACTGTGCAAAAAAAAGAGTCGCTTCAGAACTACATCGAATAATTTAACTAATACCAAGGAAAACTAAGCAAAAGATGCTCATCTCTATTGACAATAGTAATCAGGGTACATGCAGTCAACAGAACTAGAAACAAATTCGATGGATGTAGTCTCTATTCAACAGTTGATTTGTAGTAAGTTGTACAGAAGAAAATTAAATGTATTCAGTTTTGGTGCTATACAGAAATAAAAAACTACTGCAAGAAAAAATAGATTCAAACCACTTTTTCTCAAGCAAGGACCAAATACAATGCATCGATTGCAAACCGATAGTTCCACCAACCCACCAAATAGTCGTATTGATTAGCCCGTTCATCGGAAATACTTCAAATACAATTGAATTTCACACTAAATTACAATTAAATAAAACCAAGTTGACTGTAATTTAGCTAATTTTGCAAATTGTTTGTAACAAAAAGTGATTCTAGACATCTTAGTTTTCTCAATCCAACAAGATGATGTGATGTATTACAAGGCACAAGTCCGATTGGAAATTTGTGGTTCAAATGACCACCGATTAATAATTATTCATGAAAATTTGATGCAATCAAGAAAATATGAAAAATTCATGCCAAATAATCATTAAATAAACTATTAAATCAAACAAATATATCAAAACCCACAAGTTGATTAAAAATCACATTGAAAAAAAAAACTAATTGTAACAAACTTGAATAATTCATGACGCTTGCAAATATCAGAAAATAATTATTTAGAAGAAAAGAGAACAAGAAAAGAATTCACAAAGGTCTCATGCCAATACAAAAAGATGACTTTCCCTTGAAATGACAATCACTCTCGCATTGCGCTTGAAGACATCAATATCCAACAAAACATTCATTATTGAAATAAATAAAATTTTTTCATCAAGTAAAATCTTCCTTTAGATGACTCTTATTTTTAATTCACCAGCATCAAGTAAACCATCAAGCCTAAAATCCGCTGCATAGTGAGAATATGGGCTTTGTATAAATGCTGTTGAATCAGAAAATAAGCATTGCCTAAGGAATTTTGATCATAGCGGCAAAAGATAAACATGTATTCGAACGACTAACTTGCTACAGAAGTCATATAGGCAAGAAGTATGAAGGTTAACACATCACTTAAGCCCATTAAATCCAAAACCAACTATAGAATTGATCCCCAAACAACGCTACACTAGAAACGATAGCTCCAAAATAGAAAATTTCAAATCTAATTATTCCAGTGGGATATAAACCCCATATCCAATTATCTTAGTAAATATATTTCAACCAAAACAACACCATTCATAACCATTATTGAAACAAAGTTCAGCATTATTTGCTCGGTTTAAAAAATTAAGCTAATTTTCATTGACATTTATCATGCTGGGCATGGGTATTGCATTTCCTATAGAATAACAAATGAATCATCACATGTGATTATAAGATACTTCATATTCACTATACTTCATCATCTAGAATAGATTCAAGAACAAAATAGGTAGAAATGTATTGAAAATCAAGTGTTGTTTGATTGCAAAGAAATAACGCATAACGATCATCCTGATGAATTATCACCACTTAAGAAAATAAAATATGTTATTAATTTAATTTTTAAATCATCATTGCCTAACTTTCCACATTACAAGATGAATTCAATTTAAGATGTTAAACTTGAAAGGAAAATTAATTGATTGCTTAGCAAAGGGATTATTAGAGAGAGCATGATTCATATGTTGTTCATGTTTTTTTATACCCAAGAAATATGATAGTTGGCATATGTAGGAGATCCCGAATTTTAACTTCTCCATAGAACAAAAGATCAACTAACAAAGACAATAAATAGAAATTGATATTCACGAAAACAGGGTAAGAGATGTTCGTATCCAATGATAGAATAGTAAATCAGAGTACATTATAGAGTGAATAGAAATAAAGTAAATTCGATGGATGTAGACTGCACTCAAAAGCGCTTGGCAGTAAATCGAACAGGACAAAATTAAATATTTTCTGTAGTGGAGCTGTAGCAAAGCAAAATCTATAAAAGGCAGCAACATATACTTCTCAGGGAGGTTGTCGGTATCCCATTCTAGGCAAGATTTAGCGTAAATTCTACCAAGCAGAATTTTGAAAACTTCAAATCCTCTTATTTGTATAAATCCATTTTAGTTCTGTTATTTCCGTTATTGATAAAACTTAGAATTTACTAAATCCCATCATGCAAAGGATATAATGGATTAAAAAATTTCTTCTCTCACAAAAGTTAATTAAATCCCTTAAAAATTAATAATTTGTCAAGATTTACGGGCATTTAACAGGTATCAGGTCGAATAATTTCAATTTTTAATCCTCTCAAAATGTACTAAATCTGGATTTACAAATCCCTGCATGTAGCCAAACAGCTTCTAAAGGCCATTCGACATATCAGATTCAAATGAATTCCCCTTTCCGAAAGGAAGACCAAATCTCAAGTTCCACAAACCCACCAAAAACTGGAACTGGTAAGGTTAAACATAGGAAACCCTAAAAACACAATATTACAATGGAGTAAATGTAATCAAGCTAAGAATGTCAATTATCTCCAAATAGTCTGCAACAGCAAGGGCAGAGCAACAAGACCTGCGGTTTTGGTTTGATGCCGCTTGAAGTGTACGGCTTAATTCACAGAATAAGGGCTTAAAAGTAGCTCTTTTGATCAAAATCGTTTTCTTCCTGTTCCATCGCCATAATGCACTACCGACTCCTCTGTGTAAAACTGAGAGTGATAGAACAAGCATTTGGAAATTGTTATTGAATTAGCTAGAAAGAAAGAAGAGTGGAACGAGCCAAGGATAAAGAGCGACAGAACTTTGCCTCGGCCGGTCGCCGGTCGCCGGTCGGCGGAATATGATTAAAATGAATTGCTTTGAATCCTCAAGGTTTTTTTCGGGCATTTTATGAAAAATTGTAAATTTAAATTATTTTAAGAAATAGGTTATTAAAAGAATTTAAAATGGAGCATATAGGAACTCAATAATCTAGTTTAAATAAAAATCGGAAACTTATTCAATTTCTATAAATTTTTAATTTTTTTTATAAACTCTTAATTTATATTTTTTATTTTCTGATTTGAAAAAACAAATCAGAACATGAATATTCGCTTTCTTAAAAAATAGAATTAAGAAATCAGAATTACATGGTCCATTTTGATTTTCTAAGAGTTTTACTTTTTCTGCTTTTTATTTATGCTATTTTGCTTATTTTTTAATTATAACTTATTAGTATATTTTTGAAATTAAATTTAATTTTTTGTTAAATATGGTAATATCCAACATTAGATGCACTCAAAGAATTATTAATTAGTGAGACGTTTGAGGACATTTGGATTAACTAGGGACATTATGCGCTCACTTATCTCAATTAGTATATTTAATGAAAACTCTATCCAATATATGCAAGAAGCCCTCCATGGCTTAATCATTAATGAGCATTCAAAAGAATTTTTAATAAGAGGAAACTTTATCATCTCACTTACCCTCCTAGGAGTCACTCTTTGAGAATCAATATTGAAATATTTTAAAGAGTTGTAAGCTTATTTATACACTTTGTCTTATAAGGCTCTCCCCTTAAAGGACAATTTTGAGGGATTTGAATTGTTTGAGAGCTCATTCACTTGCTTTTGCTCTTGGGGCTCTATTCTTTTAGGGTTGCTCATAGGGACTTTTAAAGAGCTAGGCTTCTTGTTTACTTACCTCCTAAAGTTTAGCTTGATCCTCAATAGTCACTAATGAGGACATTAGATGTGTTGGGGAGCTCACTTTTTCCCTAACCCTTTTAGAGCTCACTCTAGAATCGCTTTTGGAGATTTTTAAATAGCTTGGGAACTCATTTTCTCAAGCACTCTCATGTCTTAAGAGTTGCATTTAAGGACTTTTAAAGAGTTAGAGAGCCTCCTTTCTCGAATGGTCACATGATTCACTCCTTGGGAGTAGAGTTGCTTGAGCTTGAGCTCAAGCTGTTGTTTGCGATTAACTTGTTAGTTATTCAAATGGATTTTAGCGAGCATATTAATAGGCAACACTATCAAGCAACTTGTTAGTTGTGTAAACAAATTTTATGGAGCCTATTAATGAGAAGCATATCATACTTAAAATGAAATTTTAATTGAATGAAATACTTATAAATAAGCAAGTAATTTAATGAGCATAAACAAATGGCTTGTGTGATGAACAAACACAATATAATATATAAAAGAACAACATTATCTATAATGTACATTGGAAATTAATTTAGGTCTTAATTGAACTTAACAAGCTTATTCACAAGTTTTAAATGACATTTGATACGTCATTGAAAATTGTATTAGTGTGGAATGATACTCATTGCAAACTTTCAAAATTAATCTTATGATCAGTCAAACTTGGATTTCAATAAATATATACCCAAACTAAATAACTTGAGTCGATAAAAAGTGAGAGATGCAGTTGAGAGATCTATTGGTATAGTTCTATGATTTAATTAAAATTTTATTGATTTTGATTGATATTTGATATGCATTACATAACATCTTCAATGTCATATAACTTAATGATATGCAATAATATGCATATATGTGTGAGTGAATGCATGATTTGATTGAATGATGTGATTGATGTGATATGTGATTAATAATTTTGTCATCTCCATTAATAGTCCACGATGATAAATCTCAAGGAAGATATTTTTCTAAAAACTTTTTAATGACCTATTAATAATCAATATTATATTTTTAAACGCAAGAAATTTCGGTTATGAGCGCTGCAATGCTAACATGATCAATATATAAATATAATATTCAAAATAATTTATATCAAACCCTCACCTCTCCATCCCATCCCCATTCTCATTGCATGGCCAAGTGAGAAAGAGAAGAGAAAGGGGAGAGGAAAGGAGGAGAAAGAAAGTAAGGTTCTGTTGGCTTCGAAAAATTTTGCCCAAGCCTCTCTGTGACCCTTTTCTTTTTCAGGTCATCAAGAAGAGGTCAAGGAGCGAATTTCCAGAGCCCAAAATTTTATCGTGACTCTAAATTTGTAGAATATACTTCCTATTATTGTATTTTTACTTAGAGGAGGTGCGTAAAATATTTGAATCTGATCAAGATCCTATGGTTCCGTCGTCACCGGGCCGTCATGATTCATAATCTACTTAGTCAGTAGTTGACCCAACCTGACTGAAGGATCATTGTCAGCTTCCATTAGTTACTTCATTCATGAGTACCATGTAAATTTAAGGTGAATGTTTATTTCTATATAGCATAATAATATCCCTATTTCGTATTCCATTTTAGCGTGGAGATGCCTTAAAGGTTTTATTCCTATGGATAATTTAATTCAGAAAAAAGGTTTTAGTTTCCCCTCCAAATGCCAAAGTTGTTCTAACATTGAAAGTGTTAACCATCTTTTTGTGAATGGGGACATTGCTAAGAAGGTTTGGCATCATTACATTACTTTGGCAAATCTGAATCGCGTGGACCAATTCAATGATCTTCCTTTCTTATTAAAAGGGTGGATGAATACTTCTAAAGGTCACATTTTTAACTTAATCCCGGTTCTTATTTTATGGTTCATTTGGAAAGCGAGAAATGAAGCCAAGCATTGTGATATTAAAATGGATGCTACTCTTATTTTCTCTAATATCAATCACAAAATTTTGCAATTATCTTATTGTAATTTGATTTCGGTTAAGAACTATACTAATTCTCAGAAATTTGCTGCTTTACTTGGTATCCATATGGGTGAGGATTTTAACAGGGGCTTTAACAGGCTTGTTATTTGGAGGAAACCCACTTTACCTTTTGTTAAATTGAATTCTGATGGCTCTGTGAGAAACTCTATTGCTGGCGCTGGTGGTATTATTCGTGATCACCAGGGTATGGTTTTAGCTACCTTTGCTAGCCCTTTGCAATATTGTTTTGTTATCACTGCTGAACTGACTGGGTTCTCTTATGGCATTGATAATTGCATTGAGTTGGGGTTTTTTAATGTTTGGATTGAGGTGGATGCTGAACTTGTGGTTCAAATTATTAATAATCATGTTATGGGGAATCCACAAAACTTTTATTTGATTAGGAAAATCAAAAAGTCTCTTGCTACTATCAATTATACTATTTCTCACATCTTCTGAGAAGCTAATGCGTGTGCTGACTGGTTGGCTAACTTGGGTTGCCAGCTTGATAGGTATCAGGATTTGAATATTAATAATTTAAATCCGACTTTGAAAGGTATGATTACCCTTGATAAAACTGCTCTTCCTTATATTAGACATGGTTGATTTTTTCTGTTTTTTGGTTTCCTGTTGTCTCGGTTTTGGTTCCTGTGTGGGACTGGAAGTTATTTATTAAGTTGGATGATTTCGTTGAGTTTAGGATCCTGCCTGTGTTCTATTCTACTAATCTTGCTGGCTTCTTCTGCCTTTTGGTGAATGGTGGTTTTTACTCCTTCGGGTTGCTGTTTACCAAATTAGGTTGTTCTAGTGGGAACCCTATCATTTTAATGATTTTTAAAGGTTATTCGAATTGCTGTTGGTTTTTGAAAGTTAACTTTTATCTCAAGGTTACTGAAATCTGTTATTTTTAGGTTTTTCTGATAGTTTTTTTTCCCTCGAGTATGCTGAACAGTTGGTTACTTAGAATACAGTTGGTTACTTAGAATTTATTTTAGCAATTGCGATGGTTTTTTGGATCATAACTCTTTTACCACTTTCCTTTTTAACTGTTGTGATTCGAGAACCATTAGCTCTATTCTCACTTTCCGGTTTTTATGTTGTGATTCAAGAACTAGTAGCTGTTTAGTCCGTTCCTGCACTTGGAGTTGGCAAATGGTGTTTTTGCTTCTGGTTATGCTTCAGTTTATGTTATATGTGGGTTCTAATACTAAGGGTGACGTGCCTCTGATTCTGTCTCATTATTGCCAAATTGTTTTTGTGGTTAATTACTGTTTCCAGCTATATTTTAAGTTTATTTGCCTTCCTTGTAGTCTCTTTTTTTGCAGTTTCAAGAGCTGGATTGGTTCAAGTTTCGTTTTCTTGGTTCTGCAACGTTTTTGGGGTTCTAGTGGTTTCATCCACAATATTGACAGGAAGATCGGGTTCATTCTTTATCTTATTCTCTTCCTTTTTTGGGTGATGTCGTCTTGTAGCCCTAGAATGTTATTAGGTTTTTTTGTAAATGTTAGAATTAGGAACCATCGGCTCGGAGGTTTTTTTTTTCTTTTTGATTTTGTAGCTCTTCGAGCATTAGAGAGCTGAAGGTTCCTATTAAGGACTTTGTAATCATTTATTTTATATTAACGCGTAGGCCTCACAGTGAATTTTAACCAAAAAAAAAAAGGTGGATGTTTATTTAAGGAGATAAATTTCACTTGAATATTTGAATTTTGTAAAATTGAATTTTCACATTGTTATCAAAATTTAGTTCTAAAAATAATTTACTT